AAAAAAAAAATTTTTTACAACAGAGACGTAAATATGTTTAAAGAAAAGGATAAATTTTTTTTTCAGTAATTTGATTTTCATCTGAATTAAATATTGTTACATATATTGTCAAATATCTATCATCAGTAAGATTCGTAATATTTTTAAATTGTCCGGGTATATTTTTTATTGTTTTTAGAACAAAAAAATTCTTGTAGTTCATTACTATTTCTTCTTTACTGCTGGACTTCTTCAAATTAGCATTCTCGGACTCTTGTCATATTTGCTGCGCATATTTGATATTCCCAGACGTAACCAGCTTGTCAACACCACGTTCACCGATGTCAGTGCTATGTTAAGCCAATGCAAAGATGTAGCCATAAATATACAGTCACAGATACCTTGCCACAACCGCTGACAAACCACAATCTTACTTAGTTTTGGCTGTAAAATGATGAACGTAAATGAATGGAGTAAGAACCCTATGTAACCCTTACTTTCAACAGAAGTAGTTCATCTAAAATTATCTCTGAATAATCTAAATACCCCAAGCGAATAATATGAAATATTTAAGCATTTGTTTGATTAGGTCCTAAAACTGGGCTAACCAGATTTGAAACTCCTGAAATAAAATAACAAGTTTCTAATCTGCATACATTCACTTAGAGACTATCGTTAACTCTTACGCCTACAATTTATCATCTATAATTATCTTCTATAATTGTATGATTGTATGATTCGAAATCAGACTTCAGGTTTACAGCTATTTAGATATGTCTAAAATATTTATTTAGAGTTTATTTAGAGTTAACTTAATTTAATTATTTATTCATTATTGATAATATATTAAGAACAATAAATAAATATTAATTGAAAGTAATAAATTTTTTTATTGCCGTTTTCCTATTGCCTCCAGAGAAACCAAACTTTAAGCAAAAATTTTATCGGTCAAAGTTTTTTCTTTATATTATGTATATTAGCTCACATTGGGACCTATATTTCGAGTTCATTTATTTAAAAATAACTATTTATATTTTCTCATTTACATATACAGACTAGGATATATAATCCATAAATTTTATTTGGTAGTTTAATTTGGGGTATATACTCTATATACTCTGCGATTGAAACTTCAACGAGGACAGATTTTTGTTAAAACTTTCTGAATCTTTTTTTTTTTATTTATATTAACATTTGAATACTTCGAACTGCCATATATGCAACGTCTGAAAAAATGCACATAATTGTTACATTTCCATCATTGTTATTTATGTAGTCTACTGTACATAACTGTCTACTGTAGGTAATAATATTTTTAGGTAATAATATTTCTTCAAATGTTTCAGAGAGATGAGCATCAGAAACAAAAATGTTTAATTTGGTAATTATATCGAAATGAAAATCTTATTGAAACATGGTTCCAATATACCGATATTGCTTAATTGATGTACCTAGAAACGGTTGCAGTTCGTGCGTATATAGCAAACCGGATAAGACTTTGAGGAACGTTAGTTATAACTGCTTCTTCGTTATGTCAAAATGTCGTTATAAGTGATTTCTACTCATTATTTAAACAGAAAAAGTTTTTTTAATTTAAATAGTTTGCAAGTAGCCTCTAGCCTCTAACAAACCCTAAATAAAAACCTTAACTTCTAAGTACGTTCTATTATTTAAATTTTACTATTACTCTTCTAACTGTGTGATGGCAATATTTTTCTATATTTATGCATAATATTTCTGACTTTGATTGCAAAAGAAAAATATTAAAGAATATTAATTAAATTGTTGATTTTTATAATAGTAAACTTCATCAAAGGGCGAAAAATATAAAACATAATTTTTGTCAATTAATTTTCACTAATTATTTTCAAAGGATTGAATTTTAACAGAGAAAAGTCGCTATCAATTAGTCCCACCAAAAGGCATTAATTAGTTAAAATATTGAAATAATTTGTTTTTCAATTTCTCTCACCAATTAAGTAGTATTTAAATAAAATTTTTCTAAAACTATTTTTTTTCTCAATGGAAGGTAGGGTGAACCCGGAGTCTGGAAACTGTAACATTTTGATTAAATTAGCATAAATCTCTGAGTTACGGAAGCGACTTTTAAACCAAATAACTAAATTTGTGTAATACATTAAGAGCTTTAAGCAATTTTCCTGCAGTATTATGTTAAGCTGCTATTTGCATACCATCAACGTTCACATTTTGGTTTGGAAATATTTAAATTTGAAATTTGCCTCAATCCACTGAATTTAGAATATCAGGAACTGACAGTTTATCTACACAATCACCAGGCCCATTTATGCGTTTATCGTTCAATGCATCAGCATCCATTTGAATGTGTTTGTATAAATACATTTGTGCTAGTTAATATGTAAGTATTTAGGATATTGTAACTGTTTTGATGCAGTTGTTTAAGAATAAAGTAACTGAAAAAGCGGAAAAAATCAAATGCAGTTTATCTGTGACCTTTCGCCTATTAAACGATATACCGACAATGGCATTTTTAGGTCTACGCTTTTGTGTGCTTAACAGGGCTAAAGTAACTATTTATCAATTCCGATAATTAAAAGCACTTTTTCACGCCAACTCACCGCAATCGGTGAATTGGCCACACTCATACGCTATGTGGACCCATTTCAAATTTGGCATTAGCCATGCATCAATTATTTTCATTGCACTTACGTGTTGATTTTGTGCCAATGTTCACAAATTTTATTTTCGCTGTAGTTGCAGTTGCAGTTGCAGTTGCAGTTGCAGTTGCAGTTGCAGTTGCAGTTGCTCATTTCACAAAATTAGTGACTGCACTTTTGATTGGCATAAAATTAATTACAACATTTTTTTTTGACTTTTTTGTAGAATTTACCACAAAATTGGTTTAATTAAAATTTTCTATGAGTCATGACGCTTTAATCGTAAATCGAGTTTTAATGAATTTAAAAACTAAGCGACAGATTTGTAAATATTTGTTTGCAAATATTTGAATTAAAGGCGATTACCAGCATTATTACACGTGTCATAATTGCCTCACATATAAATTAATTAGCGTTGATTTAATTAGTGGAAATTTATGTTACGTATACGCCACGATTAACTGAAATATTACTAGCAAGTAAACAGAATGAGAATTGCGTACATGTGAAGTACTTAAGTCTTTAAATGTTTCAATTTAGTAAAACATGATAGCACTTATTCAGGTGCGGAGGTATTCCCTACAGACGATTTGCGTGAGATTGAAACGAAAAGTAAATGTGGCGAGCACGTAACTAAAATTTGGCGTGACAATAAATATGTAAATATTATGCAGGAAAATACCAAATTCTCTATATGAGTTCAGCAAAAAAATAAATTCCTACAAGAATGTCTAAAATAAACAATAAAAAAATCCACTTTGATTTACACTTGAAACATTTCACTAAATTAGCAACACGGGTTGTTCAGATTACATCATTGGGTTTATATGTATGTACTTCTATAGTTCAGTTAAATTAACTGTACGTGCTTTATATTTTAAAACGGCGTGTCTAAGAAAGTATGCTTATTAAACTATATGTATGACATGACCTGTTTACAGTAAGAAAAGAACTGTGCACATAACTATGTTTGCTCGCAACAAACTGTCAACATAGTCGTCGGATTGACGGAACACTATCTTTTAAACAGTCATCCTAACCAATAAGTGGCTGCTTTCAACGACTACTGCCATAAAAATAAGTCGAAAAAGTAAGAAAATAATCTCATCTGCTTTAACATTGCCCAGTAATTATTGGAAAGAGGGTACACTCTAATAAAAGTTTGTCCTATATCGCTATTAAATACATATATTAAGGTGGTTTTACTTTGAAGTATAGACTTTTTTTTATAGTACCATAAAACGAGAATCTCTAAAAGAAGATATAATAAGATCCAATGCAGGTCTTGGTGTGTAAAAAGTGGCTTTGATTCACCAATAGTTTGAAATGAAGACGGAAAAGGTAATGGTAGTATTCATAGACTTATAGCTTAACTTAGCTGCTATGGAAACTTTTTTTGGACTTTTTTTCTTTGTATGAACTATGTGTGTTCCTAGAATCAATATTATATAGGATCTAATATTATAACCTAATATAATTTTTTTGGTTTTTTTTCTTTGTGCGAGTTATGTGAGTTTCTAGAATCAATATCATCTACGAACTTATATTATACATTCGAAGCCAATAATTTCAACAATTTCAACCCAGTCGGTCGGTAGCTTAATATGTATAGCGTTGTCTTTACACCTCCATTTTTGCATTTATTTATTTATTTATTTATTTATTTAGCCTACTTATACATATATTTATCTTTATATACACTATCATATATTATATTTTAGAAAGGTGTACACCAATTATTAGTAAGCTTAGAATAGGTCTTATTGCTAAGAAAATAGTTTGGAATTGTGTGGAGTATACTAAGCCACTAAGTTATGTATATGCTGGCAATGAGGAATTATTGCCCCGAAGATCGTGAATTTAGTGGTTATTCCGAAGACTTTGGTTGTAGAGGTAACAAATGTTATTCCTGCTAATACGGTTTGAGATTTGAGTACTTATCTTATACTGTTGGATTCATCTCATTTATTTAGTTTTTATTTAAAATTTATTGACCTTATTTAGAATTACGATAAAATAATATATATTGTATTGTTTGTAGCCTTTACGGTGATTGTCTGATTTTTGTTATGTTGAGATGCATTGTGTGGTGTATGTTGAGATGCATGCATCTGAACTGTAGTGTTTTATGATGAAGTGAAATAAAACCGTGCATTGATATGAATTAGTTTTTTGACACTAGTTTTATGACACTAATTATATTAGGAGAAAAAACTCCATAAAATACAAGAATTAGTCGAAAAAAAATACTTAAAATAATCATAAAAAACCACTCTATGAATCTTCAAATAGTTTAAGAACAGAAAATTGTTTTTTATATTAATAAATCTGATCCTATTATATCCTGATAATTTAATAATAAATATTTTTATCTTCTTCTTGCAGAAAGATTTATTCGTGAGTAAAGTTGATCCGGGTTCACCACGCGTAGAACGAAAACTTCCCGCCGCCAGTGCGCCATCGATGAAAACAAAGTGGCTTAAAGCATTTAAAAGCCTAAAGCCGGCTTCTGGTTCAGCAGCACAAGCAGATAGGTAAGTAACTCTACTTAGACTGTCTTATAGAAACTATTCCAATAATAAAATAAGTATATAAAAAATTAAGTTACATAAACTAAGATAGTTTAGAAAAAATTTAAAAGAAATAAATGAAAATGAAACTAAGCGTAAAAATATTGAAAAAAAAGAAATGAAAATTATTTAAAAGGAGTGAACCGCAAAAGCGGCACAGAAATGAAAGTAAAATGTTTATTGCTCAAAGTAAGAATATACGAGTGCAAACTGAAAACGGTAAAAGGATTTAATATCCTTAAAAGCTTACTGCAAAAAGTAAAAGTATGTTAAAATTAGACTAAAATATTTGTAAGAGAAAAGGGAAATGAAGCATCATTGATTTCAACACAAGCAGATTACGTGCAACTCTCTGTGCAGATTGCAGTAGAACTTTCGCTAACAGCAGCAACAACTGCTGCTTTTAACGTTAACTGCACATAATCAAAATTTTGCTTTGAGAAAAAAACCCAGTAATTATGTAACCGCTCCACCGGAAAATTTCAATACTGTGAGTACATAACCATAATATTCCATGCTTTTCCATGAAATCTATGTAACATATGCGCCTAAAATTATGCCACACATTACACAAATTGCCGTTAGTGCGCTATTTTAGCATCAAAAAAAAAAAAAACAAAAAAAACACAAGTATGTAAAAATATTAAAAGGAATATTTTGCTTGTGTATATGAAAAAAAAAAATTGCAAGGACGTGTACCCGTAGGCGTCTGAATTGGCACTCACTCCCAGTTATCGTTTCGTTTTAAAATTATCTAAACGCCTAAAAACACATTTCCACATAACACATGTAGTACAGTAATTACAATTGCAATTATGAAGTACTTTAGTTACATAAAAAGTGCAGAGAGAAACCACAGAAAAACCGATAAATTATAGATGTTTTAATAGAGTTTTGAATATTAAAATGAATTTTACGAAATCACTGTTAGGGTTCTGATAAAATTTCTTAGAGCTGTGCATAAATTTATAGATTTATTGGACATATATTTTAATTCTTTCCTTTATTCATTAGTATTTCACTTCACATGAGAATAACACAACACAGAAAAAAAGCGAAATGCAGAGAAGAATGGAGGCGTATTGTGGAGGAGGCAATGGTCCATCCTGGACTGTGATACCAAAATGATGATGATTTCACTTCACATTAGTTTACATTCAATTTCAGATTAGTATACACTTCTTAAAGAATAAGTATTCTCAGTATATTACTAAATCAATTATTATTGTCTCGAGTGATTTCATATCTCACTTTTAAAATGTTGTAAATCCAATGGGTATATTCATTAGGAGATTGATATAGAATAATAAATATTATGCTTGTGTGACATAAGCATATATCCAAGATTCGTTTTACAGTTACAAAATGATCAAGGTTTCCTTAATTTCCACTAGATAAGCTGAATTTTAAAATGTTATTTATCTTTTTTGATTTTATAGTCGAAAAGGATTTCGTCCGATAAAGGAGGAAACATTTTTAAGTTCATAATTGTTCGTTTATAATGTGATGTGATGATGTCGATATCTAAATCACATTCTATGAAATATCTGGAAATACATCTTGATAGAAGACTCACGTGGACGAGGCATATTGAAGCCAAGAGATATCAATTAAATCCTAAACTTAAAGAATTATATTGGCTACTGAATCACAAACTCAGTAACTAAATCTCAGTAATAATTGTTAATTTACAAATCAATATAAAAACCAATTCAGACCAATGGTAAAACTGCATAGGTATATAACCTGTGGTATACATTTATAGAAAAAATTCAGAGAGTACAAAATAAAATTCTCCAACAAGCTACGTGCACTCTGTAGTACGTCAAAAACAAAAACCTTCACAAAGATCTAAATCTACCAGCCGTTGAAGAAGTAATTCACCAATATGCACCTGATTTCCTAGAGACACTCAAGTCCCATCCAAAACCTCAAGCTTGGCATTGATCTGCTGCAACTCCACTAAACCGCTTCAAAAGAAAATCATTGATAAACTTAAATACTCTAGCTGAATAGCATATATGTTAGTTTTTTAAGATTTGCTCAATTATTGTCAATTTCTATTTAGAAAGATTTAATAAATAAACCAATGGAAAAAAAGTGGTTCATTTTGACATAATCTTCTACAAATTCGATGCACTTTTCTCAACAAACCTTTTAGAATCCATTATATTCTTCAAAGGAGAAATCCTCATTTGGCGATGAGTTTTAAGTGTAAAAAAAAATAAGGATCTGATAAAATTTTTTAGAGCAATGCATTAATATATAGATTAATTTGACTTTAAGAAAATAGAAAATATATCCAAGGATTAAAATTATTTTAAAAAATCTGCCATGAGTATTGAGCAGATAATGACCATAACAGAGGTAATCATTGTCGTATAAAAAAGCAGAAGCTACAAAATATAAGTTATTTATTACTAGTCATATATTTGCTATAAGAGCTACATCCAACATCATTATTATGAAATTAAAGGACTTGTTGGAATAAATGTGTTAAAAGAATTTAACAATAATTATTCTTTCTGTCATAAATAGACAAGAAGGAAAGAATAAGATATATTAAGAATATACATATTTACCAACACATTTTAAATTTTTTGTTATGTATATTATAACTGAAAGCAATAAACATTTTTCTAATATTAATAAAAATTCTATAATTATTAAAATTAAATATTCCTTCTCTATTGCTAGTTAAGGCCCTTTCGGAGTGAATGAAATAGAATATGATTTTCTTTTTTAGAGTAGAAAAAATTTATTACAATTTTTGATCATTTAAAAATTAGACTGAAATAATGTTATGAAATGTTCTATTGATATAATTATTAAAATATTCTTTTATGTCATCACTTAAAATCTTTTTTTCAATATTTTTCGCTAAGGAAAATAACATTTTTTTCTAGGTATTAATTTAATATATATACAAACTTAGTTATAAGCTTCAAAACAATATTAAATTTTTGCATGCATGACAGTGTAGTCAGCTTGTCATGCAAACAGGATTTTATTAACCCCAAAAATTAATTGGAATAATATTCCTTATGTCAATAAGTACTTTTATATCTATAGTCTTAAAAGCAACTGAAATACAGAAATTAAATATTTAATGGCTCAAAATTAAAATCGAAATAAAATAAATATACAAACTTTTTATTTTTTTTATTACCAATTTACAAGTACTATACAAAATATTATTATTCCAATTTTGATCAGAATTCAAATATTTATAGAGTACGAATAGAACTTAAAAAAATATAATTGTTAAACAATTACTTGATTTTAACGTTTCCTTTCTATTAGTATAGAAATCAAGATTTTAAAATATTAGTCACAATGTTATAAACGGTTATAAGTAACATGTCCATCACTTCCGCCAACTTTCTAAGAGTTAATTTTTGAGATAATTATCTAAGAAATAATTTTTGAATACCACTTTCTCGACTTTCTCCATGTTTTTATCATCAAGCTTATTATCAAGCTTATTGCAGTACTATCAAGTTCCAGAATAAAGATGTGGTAGTGCGTTTTTAGTGTATATGTTATATGTTCTTAGAACTCTATCCCATAAAATTCATTTTTTAAAATTAAACTAATGTTTTAATGCTTTTATGAAGCATACATACATATTTAATTTGTTTTTTTTTTTAAATATCTATAAATAAAAAAGAATCAAAAAATATGATAGTGAGGCGCAGGCTCAGTAAAAAGAAGTTAATATGTAACTGAATATGTTTAGTTAACAATATACAACAATCCTATTACACCCATTGTTAATTATCTTAGACACATGCTCTAGAAGAGTATATTTTAATTAAAGTCTAAGTTATAAGAAATAATAAATAAAAACAGTATATGATAAGTATTCAGATATTTTATAATTAAATAGGTTATTTGCCTTAAACCTATCTCTTAAATAAAATAACCAAATTTTACGTTTTGTTACGTTCATCAAAAAACTTAATAGTTTATATATATAGTCTCAGTCGTTTATACCAATAAGTCAATATTTCCTTTGGAGCACAATTGCAATAAACAAAATTGTCTTCCTGTGAATACAGGAGTGTTATAAAGGAAGTTAAATCTCAATTAAAAAATAAGTCAAATGCACAAACAAATTACAGTTATTTTTGTTGCTGCAGCCAATAATTGGTTCTTAATGAACAAAGTTTAAATATATTGTATATTCAAACTATTCGACTTATAATCCCATTCGAACCATTTTAACTTTTCCACCCAATTAAACTATTCAAACTATTCCAATTGTTTGATTCATTCGAATTTTTCAAACCATTCGAACTATTTGAACCATTCGAATCAGTAAAACCAATTGAAGCCCTCGAACCAATGGAAACATTCAAATCATTCGAACCATCACTTGAATTATTCGAATCATTCAAACTATTCAAATCATTCGAATCTTTTCAAACCAAATAAACTATTCGAACCATCCCAACTGTTTGAATCACTTAAATTTTTCAAACCATTCAAACTATTCTAACAATTCAAACTATTCTAACCATTCGAGCTGTTCCAAGTATTTTAACTATTCGAATTATTCGAACCATTTAAGTCATTTGAACCACTCGAATCATTTGAACCATTCGAACTTTTCCAGTCAATTAAATTATTGAAACAATTCCAACTATTTGAATCATTCGAATTATTCGAACCATTCGAAAAATTCAAAATAATCTAGCTGTTCAAATCATTTTAACCATTTAAATCATTTGAACCGTTCGAATCATTCGAACCAATCGAATCATTTGTATTATTCGAATCATTGGAACCGTTCGAATCAGTCGAACAATTCCAATTATTCAGTTTAGTTTTGTTTAGTTAATTTTATTTTGAAATTTTAGTTGCTTTGAGACATAAGATATATATATTTAGTACTAATTTCACAAAATTTAATATTTATACATAAACCAGTATATATACTCGTATATATTTACATAATGGAT